CACAACATCGAGGGTCTCATTAGATTTCTTGAGGATCTCACTACATTTATTGGCGGTCTCACCAGTCTTTTCGAGGGCCTTACTAAGTTTATCGGCAGCTTCTAGACACTTCTTGAGAGACCTTAAAAGTGTGGTTTTGAGCTCTATAACTTCCATTTCTGACATTTGCGTCCTGTTTCTTTGTCTCCGTATTTTTTTATCTTTTCTTGGTGCAACCCCTAGTGGTCTTTGTGCGCAGTCTTGCAGTTAAGCCTTGATTGTTGTCAGCAATACCGGGGGTGATTTGACCTCCAGGCTAACTGGCTATGAGAGTCAGCTGTGTCTGCAGTGGGAGAGCTTCTGTGCTGGATCTCTAGGGCAGTGCTAATCTAGTGTTTTGCCTGAGGCTATTCGGCAAATGGCTCTGCGCAGGGCTTGGGCAGGACGGGTCCCAGGGATCTACAGGGCGGGCAGAGCGAGCAGTTATGGCTGCTCTCAGTTCTGTCCCTAGGGGCTCTGCCTCACAGAGTCCCAGCAACTGCTGCAAATCTCGGAGAGAAAGCTGCCTTTTGAGTTCCGACCGAAGCCAGACAGTCCCGCTTCTCCCGTTTGAGTCTGGGTCCCTAGAGACTCGCCCGGATCTGGAGCTCAGAGTCTGAAACTCCCTCCCGATTGAAAACAACAACCCCGCCCTCCGCTGCCAGCCCGCTCCGCGCGCACTCCGCACCCGAGTATTTCACTTCAGCACTGCGCCTCCTCTGAGTCTGGGTATGATATTCTCTTTCCTCCTAGTTATAGGACTTCCACTCAGCCAGCCTTCCTGTGGTTCTGGATGATGTCTGTTCCGTCTTTTAGATGTATTTTTGATTGGTTGTTCGAGGCAGCAATCTCCAGCGTTAACCTATGCCACCATCTTGGTTTCCTCCCCCTTCTGGCCCTTTAAATACAGTTCCTCATGTTGTGACCCAACCATAAAATTATTTTCGTTGCTACTTCATAACTGTAATGTTGCTACTGTTATGAATCGTAAATATCTGATATACAGGATGGTCTTAGGCGACCCCTGTGAAAGGGTCGTTCGACTGCCAAAGGGGTCGCGACCTAAAGGTTGAGAACCGCTGGGTTAGGACTTCAACATATGGATTTGGTGGGAGGGGACCCAGTTCAACCCATAACAGTCCATTTATTATTACTATAACTTATTGTGATTTTAGTATGTAGTCTACCTTTTGAGCTCATTGAGCTATTCTAAGCTCTTTGTGTAAAAATTCAGTTGATGGCTAAGAGGTGAATATTATGATCTGTCTTTACAAATGAGGTAACTGTGCATAAAGAGATGAAGCAAATTTCTCAAAGCTGTACAGCTAGTAAATGGCAAATCCAGAAAATGAAATCAGTCCAGCTGCCTCAGTCCATGCATTTAAGCACCAGTATGTCCTGCCTGTGTGAGCAAAGCCGAGTCCTTTCTCTCCGGGATCTCACAGTCCAGACCTTGGTCCTTTCAAAGGGCTGGAGTCATGCAAGGTTAAGGAAGACCCATTATGACCAAGGGGCTAGGGAAGACTTCCCAGGGAGGTGATATCTTAACTGAGTCTTAAATGAAGTGAAACTAAGCACTCCAGAGAAAGAGAGTGTGCATGCAGCAATAACAGACTGGAACACAAGCGATGTGAGGCCAGGGGGCTGGAGTGGGAACACATAGGGCAAGTACCAGAGCACCTTGGCCTTGTCAGCCAGGTGAAAGGGCTGGGCTGTAGCCCAAAGGCAATGGGGGACAACTGAAGTGGGTACAGCAGGGGAGTGACATGACCAATTTCACCTGTTAGAACCAGTGCTCCTGTGGAGATGGTGGGCACACAGTCTGGAGGAGTAGAGCATGACTCCATGGGAAGCTAACAATGGGTCAGTGCTGGAGTCAGCCCTGCAGGTGTACAGGCCACTTAGTGTTTCACCATCAGGGACTAAACAACACAGTCCAGGGCAGCCCAGTCTCTGTGCACAAACGAAAGGGAGGTGGCCAGTCTTTTGGAATTGTGACTGATGATCTTCCCTTTTTCTCTTCTCAGAAATGCCTTGGAACTCACAGGAAGCCTCGCCCCTGACAGTCTGATCTTAATCCCAGGGCACTCTACTCTCCCATATACTAAACACTCGGGTGCACCCAACATCATGCTAGATGATGATAATCCAGTATCTTAATCATACCTCCTGCCTGGGCCTCTCCTTGAACTATAAACCCAAATATCCAACTGCCTACTTGGACCCTCACCTTCCAACTTACTGTGAATACAGCTGACTCCTGATCTTTCTGCAAATCTGTTCCATCTTTTTCTTTTTTTAATATATTTTTATTGATTTCAAAGAGGAAGGGATTATCTAATAAAAGAAAGCATTTGAGGATTTAAAAAAAGAGGAAAGGAGTGGGGAGAGAGAGAGAAACATCAATGATGAGAATCATTGACTAGCTGTCTAGTCAATGGGGATCGAACCCACAACCCATATGCCCTGACCAGGAATCAAACCATGACCTCCTTATTCATAGGTCAATGCTCAACCACTGAGCCATGCCGGCTGAGCAAACCTGTTCTATCTTAAATCATCTCATTAAATGTCAATTCTTCCAGGTGCCCAGGCTTTGCACCTGCAAGTCCCTTTCTTTCACATTATTTTTGTCCCAGGAATCAGTAAATACTGTTGGCTCTACCTTTTCTGACCAGAATATGACCATTTCTAGCCACCTTCACTGCCAAGAGACTCTGTTCTGAGCCACCATGCCCACCTGCTTAGATTTCGACAACAGCCTCCTACCCGGTCAGACAGCTTCTAGCCTTGCTCTCTCTCATCATTTGTTTTCACAACAGCAGCCAGATGATCCTTTTAAAATATAAATTGGATCTCCACGTGCTACTCACAACACTCAGGTGCTCTCCATCTCACTCAGGGAGGAATGTGAAGTTCCTGCAGTGGTCTCCAGGGCCCTACCCGGCTGATACTGCCTCCCACCACTCTCTCCGTTGCGGCCTTTCTGGCCATTTTATTGCTCCTTGAACACACCAGGCAAGCTTCTGTTCTGAGCCTTTACATGTGCTTAAATCTCTCTGTAGAAAGTCCTTCCCTAAGATATCCACATAGTCAACTCTTTCACTCCTTCACGTGTCTGCTCTAAAGTCACCTCACAGCCATGCCTTTCTTAAAACAGCAGCCTCTCCCACTGCCTCTCTATCCTTAAGCCCTTCCCTGCTGAGTTAAAAAAAATAAAACAAAATCCTCCTTTTAAAATGAGAAATAACCCATATTTCTCTTTCGATCATTTTTCCCTTTCTCTGAGCAGAAAAAGTTGCAGAACCACATTAGCTTAGTCCATAAAAATGTTATTAGCTAACATGCCCTTTTGTACATTTTTCTCTAAATTGCCTAACATTCTACCTGCTTTGCTATTGTAATCCTTGCTAGTGATGCCTGGCTTATAACTGAGACTCAGTATTTGTCATTGACAGATCTAAGGTCACGCTCCAGCCCTGCTACTGGCCAGCTGTGTGATATTGAGCAAGTGATAACCTTCTGACCGCCAGTTTCCTCTCTCGCTCAAAACAACAAACAAACAAACAAAACAGGGCAAATGCAAATGGCATTGACCTCGCTGTGTTGCCATGCAGATGAACTGAAATAGTGGATGCCAGTGCACCTCCTGGAACATCAGAAAGGGCAAACTATATGTCCGTTTCTTTTTCCTACAACCACACCAAACCTATTTATTCAGTTTCACATTTTTCCATGAAGGAGGAGCTTTATGAAGGTTGCTAAACTGCAAGTGTGTGTGTGTGGGGGGGGCGGGGGGAGGGTAGGGGGAAATTAGGGGAGAAGGGGATTTGGAGGAGGGAAGATGAAAGCAGCTTGCCCTTTCTCACTCTTTTCCAAAGCTCGGCTGGTTGCACTGGAGTGATCGGCCACAGAGAGAGAGTCCCACGCCCTGGGACACAGGGGCAGCACTGAAAGGGCCCTGTCTCCATTTGAAGCCAAGCCTCTGAGGGAAGATGCATGATTCACAGCAGAAAACAGCTTCATCCCAAATGCCTGATAAAGAGGATATGGAAGCAAAACACACTTCTGACCCACCCACCCCCATCCCAGAAAGAAACTGATTTATTGAAGAGAGAAATAGAAGAGGTGGAAAACTGAAGAAGGAAAAAGCAACATGTGGCCAGTCAGAACATGTGGCCAGTCAGGCGAAAGAATTCTCCAACTATGCAAGCAGCGCGCTGCACGGAAGAAGGGACTCCCCCCCCCCCCCCCCCCGCCCCCGCTTTGTGCTGGGCACTTCCCCATAGAAAGCACCTTGGATAATCTCACAAACTATAACTCACTAGTCCTACACTAAGTCCTCACTTAACTGTAAACCGAACAACTTAGTTGTAAACAGCACATTTCACGGAAGGCTAATGGATATAAACCAGGGATAAGTTATACGAAAAGACCTTGAATGAAAACTGCCCGCAATCCTACTCAGCAGCAGGAACCCTAGGGCGCAGGAGGATCTACTCCCTTGCCTGAGGACACACAGCGAAAGTGCACTGAAAAGCCATAAGCATGGCAGTCCTGCCTCCTGCCTTCTGCCCTCTACCCTCTGCCCAGGGCGCCCACGCACCACCAGGAGGAGACACAGGCCACAAGGGCAAACACAAACCGAGAGAAGCCAGCAGGCTCCCAGACCAGGCTGGGGAACCAGTTGGAAACCTAGCCGGCGGGATGCCCGCTGGGGTCCCTCACACCACCGTCCCCAGGAACTCTTGTCCCCTTGCCCTCCACCCTCCGAGGTGGCACAGGACACAGTACAACCTGCTTCAGTCCCACTTTCCCGGGAGCAAGACCGGCAGGAGCGGCGCTGCACAGACGCAGGAGGTGTCAGCTCCTCTCCCGGAGGAGGGGGAGGGGGGACGCCTTTCCCCGCGGCTCTCCGTTGGGAGGGACTAGACCCGGTGAGACCGACACAGAGAGGGCGACAACCGAGCCCCACGCCTTACCCCGTCCATGGCTTTCCTCCGCGGCAGAGTCTGGGACACAAACCCAGCTTCCCAGAGCTGGATCCTGGGGCCCAGGGAACCCTTTGCGGCGCCTGCGCCGGCCAGGGAGCAATCATTGTCCCGGGACACACCTGAGTCCCGGCTCTGCACCTGCCCCACCTGGGCGGCGGCTCCTCCCTCTCCCGGGGCTGGGGCCGGAGCAATCTCTTCGTTGGCCGGGCAATCCATGGCCCAGCTTCCCAAGACTAGGCGCCTGCAGCGGGGAGAGAGAGACCCCCTGTCCTGGCCTTGTGGGCAAGAGGCTCTCTGCCCACTGCTCCCCAGCAGGGACTCTCCGGGGAGTTCACTGTGCCCAGGCGGGGAAGTCAGTGCGGAATGGGGCGCAGGGCTCTTGTTGGTACATAACACTCAGCTGGACAATGTGATCGCCATCAGTGACAGCCTTGGCCTATCCCCTCCCATTGGATGACTACAAAGGGGACAGAGCGTGCCTAAACCCCAGGGCGATTTCCTGGAGGCCAGAGGGGCAGCGGCCATAATGGAGCATCTGTTTTTGGCCAGGTGCTATCTAAGCGTTGGGGTACATTGTCATACTTCCATCTGACCATAGCCCTGGAAGGGCTATGATCCCACTTTAAAAGATGAGGGAACCGAGGCTCAGAGAGACCTTATAACCCGCCCCTGGTCACACAGGTAGAAGATAGAAGCATCAGGATTTGAACCCATGTCTGGCTGACTCTAAAGTGATTTTGTTTTTGCTTTTGTTTGTTCTGACAGAGCTGGTGCTGGAAACCCAACCCTCAGCTCCCAGGTCTCCCAGAGCTCACCCCGGTCCTGGGCGTTGTGAGCTGGCACAGCGTGGAACCATTGCTGTGTCTACTGCCTGCCATGGGCTGCCCCCGCCCATGTGGGACTTTTCATACTTTGTTAGGGCCAAGCTGCTGACAAAGCTTCTCCTGCCCGTGCAAGGGCGAGGAGGTGATGGCAGGTGAGGAGCTGGCACAGCGTGTGCCCGTTTCCTCTAACAGGTGGTCCCCATACCTGCTCATCATCACAGCTGCCAGCGAATCTATTGAGAATACAGGCTTCAACACGAATCAGTTCTGGTCTAGGGTCTGGGAATCTGGATTTTAAATTAGCTTTTTAGGTCAGTGTATTTGAATAATTAATGACTCACAGCAAGATAGAGCCTTTACATCATGACTCAGGACAGACACACATATACACATACTAAAATAAAAATTTCTCAAAATGTAATCACTCTAACTTTGGGTGTGGTCACACTGACAGCTTCTCTCCTTTTCTGAGCCATGATGTGGCATTTCATTTAAAAATTCCATGGCCAGCACACCCCACCACACTGACTTCATGACTCACAATTGGATCCATGCCGCCTGTGGGCTCTGCTCATAATCAGAGTGGGGTCCACTCCTCCAAGCTAAACGAGGGGCAGGCCAAAGGCGCCCTGTCACTTTCTGCACACCCCATCCTCACTCCAGTCAAAGGCAAGGATGTCTTGTATACATCAGCAAGCAATACAATGAGGAATCCTCTGCAGAAGCTCTGGAGAGAACACAGAGCCCTACTCCCAGCCCCAGCTGATAACTGGCTATCAAATCCCCTTTGCTCTTAATGCAAGGGCTCCCCCTGGTGGCTTCTGACCAACCTACAAATGCAGAGGGAGCTGGACCAGGGGGGACTGGGAGCTCTGTGCTTTTCAGTTTGGTTTGGGAAAACTTACAATGGTAGGTCATAGGATGGAGCAGGCACTACTTATTGGTTAGCTCTTAGGGGGTGAGGGGTTTGCAAAGTAGACTTAAGAACTGTGACTCTTAGAACTCTATAGGATTCCCTGTTATGACCTTACTAGAGGCCCTGTGCACAAAATTCATGCGGGGGGCGGGGAGGGCGGAGGGGGAGGTTCCTCAGCCTGACCTGCACCCTCTCCAATTCGGGAGCCCTCAGGGGATGTGCTACTGATGGCTTGGGCCCACTCCCCATGGTTCTCTGCTCTCTGCAGGGCCTGCCTGCTCCACACCATGGGGATGGGCAAGCAGGCCCTGCTGTGTGCTGCCTGCGGCCCCACTTGCCTGCTCCCCGGTCCCCACGGTGACTGCCCAGCAGGCCCTGCTGGGTGCTGCCTGTGGGCCATGCTTGCCTGCTGGGCTCACATTGCTGGGGTGATGCTGCCAGTGTCCTGCCAAGCCACTATGGGCACCACCACCTTTGTTGTGGAGTGATGATTAATTTGCATATTACTCTTTTATTAGATAGGATGATCCTCTAGGTGCTAACTTCAGTTTCCTCACTAGCTGTTTGCCTTGGGAATGCCAACAACCACCTCTGAGAGTATGTTCCTCATCTGTAAATCTAGGTAAGAGGGTTTGCTGTGTTGGCTTAGGGATTAAGGTGTGTGACAATTTCTATAGTTTTTAGCATTAAACGGGCACCAAACATTCAGTTCCTCTCTCCCTTTGCCTCTCCCCTTCCATTAACAGTGGCTGTGTCGGAGTCAAAACCCACATGCTCCACTTGGATGTACAAATGAAGTAGTAGTGTTTTATTTCCCCATAATGATCCCCATTTGCTGTAAGCCCCGGTCCCATAGTAGCAGGTGCTTGCATCTAGTTTGATATAAGGAGAACTCATGCATGCTTCCATGGGGAGAGGGCAGGGCAGATGAGGCAGATGAAAAGTACAGACATGGTGGGGAGGGTTTAGGATGTGAAATTTGGAGGTTGACCTCAGTGTAGGGAGAGCTCATTATACTTAGGAATAAGTAATTCGACTCATGAAAGAAGTATGGGATCCTATAAATCCACAAGGTGCTTTGGTGGCTGGCTGCTAGTCCAGGCCAGGATGCCTCTCTCTGATCTGCACTTAATCATGGACCCAGAAATGCCCAACTGAGTGTGTAATGCCTGCCAGGAACAGAGCCCCAGACCTTGCAAACATCACCTTAGTTAGTCCTTATTTTGATCCTCATTTTCCAGGAGAGGAAACTGAGGTACACATGAGGTAAGTCATGGATTCTGGGTAACACAGTTAGCAGGTGGAAGAGCAGACATGCCATACCCCAGTCTGGCTCCAGAGCCAACCCTCACAACCCTCTGGTTGCTTCCATTTAAATCGTAGAGGAATGCGGAATAATCAACTCACAGAATCCGAGAGCATGAAGGGTCCTTGCAAGGATGTGTTTTCCCAAACTCAATTTTGAATGAAGTCAGGGAGAAAGCTTAGCAGATACCTGGACTGAAGTTAGGCTCAAAATATTCTAGTCATTTCTGTCTTTCAAGCCCCTAGCCTCAGTGTGTTTCTCCTGGTCTTGGGGGATGATGTGGCACACTCTCCAGGAAGGCTCCTTCCATTCCTTGGCATACTGAGCAGTAGAAATCAGCATTTCCAGCATATTCTCGGTGCTTCCAAACCTTACTTTCAGACTCAGATACTGCTTGTAGCTTTTCAGTGTTTCCATTCACGTCTCAGACTTTCATTTCTCGGCAAACATATTGCTTACACTCTGCACCATAAGTAATGGTTTGTAGCAGAGTAGAGTGATGTAAAAGAGGATTTTAAAAATATCTGAAAATGGGAAATCACATGCACTCTCCTCTTTCCAGCATAAACTTTAAGCGTTATATATTATCTGATGACAAAGCTGGAGCAGGTAGATTGATTGTCAGAATTAGGATGGTGCTGCTGGAGTAACCTATTATTAATATTAAAATTATTATTGGTTACATTAATCATTTCTGAGGATTTCCAGTGTAACATGTAATTTATTTATGTACAATTTATATCCTGACTACTTTCAAAAGGGAGAGAAGGAAAGAGTACAGGAAGTTAGATTTATTGAGAGCCTATTGTGTAATGAGCTACACAGGTTACATATATTTCCTTGGATTCCTCGTGACAATGTGGTGAGATAAGAGATGTTATCCCTACTTGAGAAGTGAAGAACATGAGGCTCAGGAAGGTCAAGGCAAATCCCCTGACCATGCAGAGTATAGCTTATTCTCCACTTGGACTCTGCCCTACCCCAATCTAGTCTTCCTTCCTCCACTTTATTCTGTTCCCAGAAGGACTTGAGGGAGTGGACAATGCAAAGCCAAGTGAACTAGGATGGCTAAGAGTGAAGATACTAGCCATGTAGAGGGCAGGACTGATGGGAAGATAGGAAGGGATGGATAAACAGTGCAGAAATATGGGATGATTACTTCAAGGTACACAATCATTTAAAGATAAATTACTTAAGGGTAAAATTATGTGGGTTCAAGAAAGGGTCTGCTTCCTTTTCACCCAGTTTGTGAAAACTATATCCAGCTTGCTTATCTTTTGCCTTGAAGGAAGCTCACATCAAAATTTCGTGCTTATCTGAGTAATCATCTTAATAATGTGTAGTAAGAGCTTTCTGGAAGGACACTAAGCAAGCATGACCAAGGCAAGTTGCTTCCTGTTAGTGGCCTGTTATCAACAATCTGAGGACCTACTTTGTGCCAGGTGCTGTGCTTGGATGTAGCAACCCTTTAGGTTCTTGAAAGGAAACTGTCTGCCTCTACTGATGCCAGTTACATTATGGATGAAGCACTCAGGTGAAGTATTATGATGTTTTCTGATCTGCTTTCCTTGTTGAGATCAAAGGAAGACCACTCCTCTGTGGGAAGGAGCTGGGTTTTGCTGGAAGTAGGGAATCATTCCCAATATCAGCCACTCCCATTTCCCATCATCCAGAACAGTGGGTCCTTGGATGAAATATTCAAGCTGGGACACCTCCCCCCTCCTGCCACTCTCTCTTTGGGTCTTGTCTTTTTGGGTCTGGATGTCAAGGCATAGTAATAACACATGACTGCAATACTTGGAGTTTAGAGTACAAGGATATAGGAGTGATAGGTCTCTTCACAGAATCTATAGGTCAATTGGTATGTGATTGTGAATCATAATTTGGGTAGCTGATTTCTTATGTATTTGGGAGCTTTATCAAAGAGTTAGAATTGCTTTCCTTGTGAGGAGTTAGGGAGGGATAGCTCTCCCCTCCACCCATGTACACACCTCCTTCTGTCTCCAACTGTTCCCTCTTAAATGCCATGCTTATGTTTTCTGGACTTAAGAACCATGTGTCATCATTTCTGGGTGGTAGGGGTCAGATGACCTCTGACATATCACTGTAGGACAGAAGTATGGCTGGCAGGTGGCCCTATAGAAAACTCAAGCTAAATATATATAAACTC